TTGAACCACAATACCGATAAGTGATTAATAAAAGTCAAAAGACCAAAGAGGTCACCTTAAAAAAAAAAAAAAAAAAATAAATTTAAGATAATATAATAAAAATGATATACTGTAAATAAGCAACTTTAACTATTTTTATTAAATTATAATTTTTTATAATATCATAATTATTATCAAATATAAAAGATTTACATGTCATACTATTTAATAAAAAAAAAAGTTTCAATTATTTATTTAAAAACAATATTATTAACAAAATAACAAATTGTACTTATTATAATTCTAAGTTATATTTTAATAACAGAATATATCAACAAAAATTTATACTTATAAAAATTCTGAATGTTATAAAACCTTTTCAATTTACAAAAATACAATTTTTTTTAATAATAATTTAAATTGTAGCAATACTTTATTAATTGCATACTTGTGGTTATGCAGAGTAAATATATACAAATAAGTTTAATTACTAAGTTTTCATTAAATACAATTATTAAATTTACTAAATTATTTCATAAATTAGCAATTAATACAATAACTAAAAACTAAAGTCAATCAAAGAAATACATTATATAACAAGAAAGAGTAATACAAGAAGAAACATTTTCATAAAATATATATTAGACAAACTTTTGATAATAGAGAAACTCAACAGAAGAAGACCAAATCTATATATAAATACAGAATATTAAGTATATTAAAACAAAATTAAAGAAACACAAAAGCATCTAACATTATGTAAAAGACAAATAAATCTTTAGAAAAGGATATAAAAAATATCTATTGCAATAGTATAAAAAGAATTAAAAAAAAAAATTATATCTTATATATTATATACAATGTTTTTTGAAAAAATAAAAACAGATGAAATAGAAATAAAAAAAATATTAATTAAAGACCTAATTTCAAAAATAACTCAAGACAAATTAGAATAACTTTTAAACACACAGACAATACAACAATTTGTAAATGCATTAACAGAACCAACCTAGAATATCTTTTATAAGCAAGTTTAAAAAACATAATGTAAAAAAATCAATAAATGAAAAAAAAACAGAAATAATCAGTAAAATAAAAAAAAGAACCTAAAAAAAAAAGAATCCAAGTAAAAAAAAAAGACTAGTTAGCAAAAAATAGAAAAAAAAAAAAAAAAGCAAATTGAAAATAAAACTAGAAAGACAATTTTGGAGCTTGTCATAAAAAAGAGATTCTTTTAGTATAAACTTTAAGTAGTTAAACAAGCAACTTATTTCTGTTTGAAGTAAAGCAACAGATTGCACTTAGGCACTATTAGGATGACCAGATAATACTAAACTTAGATAAATCTATATAATTGCAATAACAATTTCAAGAATCAAGAAAAAAAAAAAAATTAAATATAACAATTGGTAAGAACCTTCAAACAACTTTTTAAATAAATAATATAAAAAAAGTATACATGTGGGCTAAGTGCTAAGAAAAGAGAACAAATTAACAATTTTTTCAAAGAATATTTTTTTACATAAATCAATTTAAAATAAGATTAGAATCATTCTTTACTTAAGACACAAAAGTAATTGTATTAATAAAATTTTGTGATATAACTCTTTAAAGTTTGCATTTTCTTATAATTTATTATAAAATTTATAACATAATTAATTTTCCAAAAATCTTTTTTTTTTTGTCAATTTGGTCCCTTTTCTCAGCACCTAGCCCATGTGATCAGTTGTGCACTCTTTCTGTAATAATTCCATGTAAACACGTTACCCAAAAAAAAATAATAATAAAAGAAAACATTATTTTTATCAACTATTACTCTTCAAAAATAAAAAAAATATAATGTCTATCATACTACATACTAGTATCGTCGAAATCACTTCTAACGAAAGTTGGTAAAACACTTAATCCCAAACGTTTATATAAAACTTAAGCATCTCAAAAAACCATATTGCAAATTTCAGAAGGCTTTAATTGTAGAATTTCGATATTGCTAAAATTTTCTAACATAAAATAATATAAAAAAATCGTGTTGAAGTAATGATAATTGTTTTAATTTAAAATATAAATACATTCAATCAAAATATGATTCTAGTCAATCAATTTAGCAAAAGCCATTGTATTCTTCGAAAAGTAGTCTGCCACAACGCTAAATCCGTCTTCTGCTTCATTTAACTATATTGTAAAGACAAAAAGGAAATACTTAAAAAATCTTACGTTTGTCAAACGTTTAATGAAGCTAACATGAATTAGTACCCGTTCGAAGAATAAGTCATGCTTATCTGCATTAGCTTCTTGTGCTCTTCTTTCATCAGAAATCAGTCGATGTGAATGGGCACATTGGGGGCATTCACGGTCAGACTCGGGTAGACATCTATTAAATACAAAGACGCTTAATAGTACCTTTTATTGCTGTTTTGTACAATCAAATAACGTTACAAACCGCTGGTGATAAGAGTGCCGACATAAGAAATGGACAGCGGGTAAGTCAAGTGCTCCACGGCAACTAGAACACTTCGTGACTTGGAAAATACGGGCACTAAAAATTAGTCAAATTATATTACTAAAGATATTTTGGAGATATATAATTTATAGTACTGTATTTCCGCGAAATAAAGTGCAGGGGCGTAATCTCGAATTCTGGCCCAAATTATGCTTATTCGAAATAACATGCATGCACATTATTTCTCGAAAATACGGTATCAATTGTTGCAGATTATGCGAAACTTGGCTTATTTTAACATGAAATTTGAATTTTTTTTGGATGTTTTCTTAAGGGCTTGAATAAGATTTAGGGTTAGAGTCATCAATAAAAAGTATATAGAGTTTTAATAGACCCCAAATTTCAACATTACATCTGATTTCAGTATAATCTAACAATAATTATATTGATGTAGAATATACATACACAGTCTTTAATTCTTCAATTTCCTTCTTCTTTTTTTCGGTTTCTTCACGGTAATTTTGTATTAACCTCCGATTAACTTGTGTTTCTTTCCTTTCACTTTCAATTCTTTTCCCCATGTATCCCTTGATCATTCCCAAAGTAGCTATAGAATTTCTACTAAGAGCTTGAATAACTTGCAATGGCGGCAGTAAGTTATGAGAATCAATGTGGTCTAGGATTTGTAGAAGCTCAGAAGTAGATGTAGACAAAGTCGTTGGAGAAGAGGAAAAATATGCCAGAGCCAATAAATAAAGTGACTGATCTTGTGGGCTATAATAAGAAATTTCATTCATTTAATTATTCGAATCTTCTTTAGTGTAGATAGGTATATGTACCGGTAAATTCTTACAATATTATAATATATAAAACCTAACTAATTTAAGCCAATTTAAATTCTAACTCAAACCCAGACTCTAATTACTTATAAACTTATGTAAATTAGTTCAAAATAGCTAATTTTTATATATTATAATTGTATAATAATTGTCGTGGCTGAAGCTTGAAATCAGGAACCTCGATTTCAAAATATAAGCCCTACTAAAATCCACTTAAACTCCTTTATTATCAAAACTAACCTTAAACCCTAATCTAACTAATAAAAAAAAAAAAGCACCCAAAAATTTCTAAAAATTTCATATTAAATAGTTAAAATTTCAAGCTTCAGCCACGACAATAATTATTTATGCTCATCTAAACTAAATATTAGCCAATTATTCAGCTAAATAACTATATGAAAATAATTGATAAACGTACCCATATGTCTTCAGAGACTGAATTACTTTTTCAGTGTCATCCTTAGCCATATAAAATCTTAAAATTTCCTCATACATATTCATTTTCTCATAAAGATAAACAATTCCTTCGTCAAACTGAGCCAAATAACAGAGGACAAGTGCTTGATTTGAATCATAAGAGACCTGGCGTAATAATAAATTATATGGGTAAATGATTAAGAGAATAACATAAAGAAACCTTTTACAACTCAAGCTCACTAACATCTTGGCTTTTCAATAATTGTAAAGCTTTATCTTTCCTTAACAATTTCTCTTTAACACGTTCAGTCTCTGTAGAAACCGAAAAATTTCCTGGAGCACCATATTTTCTCCCCTTTGAATCTTTACCGGATATAACTGGTGGTAGATAGGCCTCCGACAGATAAAGTTCTAAAAGTGTATTCCAAACAGCTTTCTTTTCTTCTGATTCAGAATCATTATTTTCAATACTATACTTTGATACTACATCATCCATATCAATACTACTTGCACTAACAGGCCTGCTTGAAACATTCTTTGGAACGTTAAGTGTTTGTTTTCGTGGAGTACTGAAACCTCCCCAACGTTTATGCGAAACTTGCTCCAGGAATTGAATAAGATAATTTGGCTGGTCAACAAATAATGACATGAAAATTCGTACAGGGGGTGGCTTATAAGAAGAAACGGGTCGTTCTTTTATAGGTTTAGTGCTGTTAGTAGGCGCCTGTTGAACATTAGATGCCTCAATATGATTTTGAGTTTTAGGAGAGGGAGCTACAGATCCGAATGGCAATAAGGAAAGAGTGGGTGCATAAGAATTAACATTGGAAACAAGTGGTGGAGGTGGTGGTGGAGGTGGAACTGAAGCAGGTGGTGGAGTACGAGAGCGTTGAGTGGTTAGAAATAAATCGCCAGTGCAAAGATCGATAAGGAGTTGAGTTGTAGGATGTGGAAGGTGATTAAGGAGGATTTTTCCATATTTTTGCAAATTACGGTTAGCCTATTATCGCAATTAACAAATCATAATAATTTCTTAGATCCATAAAAATAAAATGTATAAAAAAAATGGAAACATGACTAACCTCGGTCGATCCCAACTTGCGAATGTATTCTAAAGCATTTTCAAAATCCTTAACGTCTTCAATCTGAATTTTTAAGTATCTATAACAGTTAAATAATTATAAATATTATTTATAATTTTATCTATAGACACATTACAACGAATATTTACGAATCATGTTCATGAAATTTCTCTGCCAAATATACAGCATGCTCATAATATCCGGCTTGCCGACACACTTTAATAGCTGTCTCTACATCAAACTTTAGTTCTTCGTTATCAGTCTACAAAATTAGTCGATAGAATGATATTTTAGCGATAAAAAAAAAAAAAGGTGAAGACTATTATAATCAGTCTTTATGCACCTTAATAAATTGATCTAGCCGTGCCACGTCTTTTAATTTTGTATAACAATTTAGTAGTAAAGTAGTATGATCTGCATTAGCGAAACCGCGGGAATGTAGCTCTTGGAGATAATTGACAAGGTTATGTATACGTTGGGCATCCAAAAACTGTTAAAATTTATAGTTTGGTAATTAGTTTGAAATCCATAATCATTCTCTTACACTAATTTACTTCATAATTACAAACCTTTCGAATAATATACGATGGTTCTAACTGGCCAATGGTTAAAATGTATTGTGCCATCGCATTATCGTAATCTGCCTTACTGAAAATTTTGTTGTATCCAGAAAATCATCTATCAATGAAATTGTATAAAGATAGTAAATGTCGCATAAATTATAAATTATTGTGATTACCTATATAAATGATCACCGTATCTCTTAAAGATGTCAGATATACCAGCATCGTCGTATTTTTGACTATGTGCAAGATTAATTGCCAACAAATATAAGTTTTTTTTAAACAAAATTTCGAGCTTTGTTGGAGTATCTTTTTCTTCAAGGCGATATAACTTTTGAAAATAAAATCATAAATATGATATTTCGTGTATTCCAACGTTGTATATTTCATTATAACGTATATTTGCAATAAATAAATTACTGAACAAACCTTTCCTTCCATTCCAAGAATGTATATACCACCCCACTCGCAAATAATCATCCGTACACCATGAGAGAATGATCCAATATATGAAATAAATTTGTTCGCAGTGTCAAAAATAGTAACTTTTGTGAGTTCATAAGGAGCGGATTGTGTTGGTGTACTTCCAGAACCAATTGAAAGTGCAGAACGTGTTGTTGATGTAAGCCTTGTTGGTTGAGAGATTGGCGGTGATACGATAATGAGATTTGACTTGAACCAGGTCACGGATGACTTGGTACCTAACAGAACATATCACGTTATGTTTATGCATGTAAAATAATAAAATAATAAGGCACCCTTATTTATGTAATACCTTCATAAGCAAAACAAGGTCCTCGTCCATCAGGTTCATAGAAATAAATCGCCTACAGGCAAAAATCAACTTATAATTTAACCACTGAATGAAATCACTAAAGTATATTAATCCATTTATCCGACCTCATCCTTAGCGACAACCATTTCATGAGTTGTATCACTCATTACTGCACATCCTAAAGCGGCACCTTGTTCATCGATGATCGTCTAAATATCATCATTGTAGATTAGAGTAATGTTAAATACTTTTGCATTATTTTCATTTCAATATTCAACCTACAATGGGCGATCTGCTAGTTGTTACATAAGTCAAAACTTTACTAGTAGTGACAATAAACAAGATAACGGTTTTGTTATGTTCCTTGAAACCGAGACCTAAATGTAAATTAGTATGTTTGGTCTTTATAGTTGCTGGTTGACAATTGAAAATGAAAGTTGGATAAAATTACCTGTAATTGGTTCGTCGCTTTCATGAATAATTTTTTGTCTCGTATATCTATCTCTATATAGATCACCTTTGATCAACACGACTACACCATTAGTTAAACCTACTGCAATCTGGCCCAAGTTTTCCAAAACAGCTAATGCCGAAACAGGGAAAGGTTTGCCACCATGATTTACTTTAATTGTACGCTGACATGTAGGAGTTCCTTTGGATTTATCCTGTTTATCAAGGTCCCATATTTTAATAATGGGTGGATCCTCTTCCTATCACATTAATTATTAAATATTTAGAATTGAATGAATTTTCATCTCAAGATATCAAGTAAAGAGAACCATAAAAACTTACACCAATTGTCGACAAAATGTTTTTTTGTTTCATTTGTTTCATATGTGACACTCGCCCTCCTTCATATGCCAAAAATGATTGATGAACGTTAAATGACCTATCAACAATGTGCACATAGCCGGTTGAATGTAATATATTATGAAATCATGTGCGTTTATAACACGCACATTGAACTTAATGTTAAGCATAATATTCTTTCCAGGTTTAAATAATATACAATTAAAATGCAAGGCAAGGATATCAGCTAAGATAATGTTGCCACGACCGCTGGTGCTCACTGCCAGATCAGGATTCTGTAAATATATGTTAGGGCATAACTTAATTGTTTCACAGGAGAGAAGATTAAAGGAATTTGTAAATAGAAACATTACAAGAAAAATTGCAGGTGGTTTTGTCGGGTCATTTGGATCCTTGACCTGCTGTACATCAAAGAAATTGAATTGACGCCTGAAGAGAAATAATGGTTTAGAAGGAAGTCCTCAAACTTAAATAAGTTTCTTCGGGACTTACCATTGTTTTTGGTCGTTGCTGTTCGACTGTGTATGGTGGCCGCGAATAGACATTTTTTAAGATTTTAAAGGCTTTGACTTATGTAAATTTATATGTAGAGCACATCTCGTGTAACACATAATCGTGGTATGTGATTGGTTGATCACATGAAATTAAGGCTTCTGTGATTGGCTATTTTTTGCGGTGAAGGCGCAGCAAGTTTGTCCAATCAGAAATAGCGCAGCCATTTTAAAATTTATTTTAAGTTAAAGTCCTTACCTTTGTGGATCGATGTTTTTATTCAAGTATATGAACACAGATGTCTTCAGAGGCGTCCATACATAGGAGGTTACAACTAGTTACACATGCACTTTTGGTATCTAATTTAAGTAGTCTGCCTATACATTACTAAACAGATTCTATACTAGGTGCTATACTTACAAACCAATTACATGTCTTGTCTATTTAAACCCTTTGTATATGTAGTTCAATTTGTGATAATGAGAACATCTTTTAGGTTACATCATCCAAAATACTTGATGTTTTTGAGATCTTTAGAACTATTTTATCTTTAACAGAAAACTTATTGGAATCTTTTGTATCTTATATATAATTGATTTAGTTTTATACAATACACTATAGTTACTTAATACTTGTAATCACAAGAGTTATCTGTTTAATTATTATATTATACTATTTCTATTCTTATAAAGTTCATTAGAACCTTAATACCTATTATTACAATGTTTTTTTTTTTTTTTTTTTGAATTTCCCACTGCTTGGTCGCTAGTGGGCTGCAGCTGGTAGCTGTTTTATTAGTTCTTATTTCAAATTCACAGGATCTTCTATCAGGACCCTGTCTACATTTTTATATTATTTGTGTACATTTACAGTACTATCTATATTCTAATTTCTGTGTTACTATTACCCTGGAATTTCACTAGGACTATTCCTAATCAGAGATTCCTTTTGTTCTATTATTATCCTCAGCCTCCTAATCATCATGACCTTTTTACGTTAGGTCCGTCACCATTTAAGGATCTGGGTACCAAAGATCTTCCTATTTTTGTAGTTCGCAGTTAGCTGTGGTTAATTAACAATCATGGTCTTAACTCAGTTTTCGTTCCCCATTGGACTTGAACCAGCAACCTTGCGATTGGCGACCTAGGAATGTAACCACTTCGCTATCGATCCACAGGTCTTTACAATTTTTTTTTCTATTATCTTTTACTAATTATTACTTAGGACTGATAGGATTTCCTAGACTCTTAATTCAGATAGTCTGGTATAGTATATATACTATATATATTCTTTTCTTTGATAACCTGATTGGTTATATATTTCTTTATATATTTTGACATTCAGTTTATCTGTTTATCTTTTTAAGAATGTTTTATAGGTTTTCATCAGTTTGACTGTATTATTAAAAGTTCATGTTATCTCTTTATTTAGGAATTTCCAAATAGATTTCTGACTTTTTAGTCTTTTAGTTTATTGTACTTGATGGTCTTATTATGAGCTTAGACCAAAATCTTATATAATACCAGTTATTAATATTCTTCTATATACATATAATATTATATTTTATATAGATGCTTTAAGTTTCTATTTGAGATAATATGACTTAAGATTATATATACATCAATCCAACCAATTATTAAGAAACAGTTTGTTATAATACAGATATAATTTTCTAAATTTCATTATAGTTAAGATTTAAATACTAGACTTACTACTTGCTGAATGACAACCTAATCATTATATTATAATTGTTATCTTCATAATCCTTTTAAAATCTTATTAGTTTATAATATATTTTATTAGAAATATATAATTAGGAATGGTAATTAGTTTGAACAAACCAATTAGCTGCAGTTTAAATTGAAACAAATACAAGATGATTTAAACTAGTTTAAACCTCAGTTTAATTAGTTTGATTGTTAAATAATTATTCATAATATATAGTATATATACAATTACAACAATAAAAAAGTAATATAAATAAAATTAATGTTGCAGATAATTGTGAAATAACCCTAACTAATTAGGTGCATTAATTTCACAATTATTCAAATTTTATAATTATTCACGATAATTAATAATACTTATAATGATAGCGATATTAATATTTAATAGTTAATATTAAAAATAATAAAGAAATTAGCATTTGAGTACAATTATTGTTACAAAAATTACTAGCGATTATAGACAATTACATTTTGATAATTGTCTCAAGTTTATATAAATTTAATACATTTTTTTTTAGTTTCGTTATTCAAAATGTTAGATATAGATATAAACATCCAAGATATAGATGAAAACATTCAAAATATAGATGGAGACACCCAAAATATAGATATAAATGTTTAAAATATATTCAACAGTTTTGTTAGATCTAGTTCAACATATACAGAATCTAATTTAGATACTTTGTTAACTTGCTCTTTGGAAGTTGATAATAATAGACCTATTCATCATGCTAAAAAAAAAAGAAAATCACAAATGGATAAATTTTTTAATCAATCTAAAATATCACAAGATTGTAAATATTGTACTATAAAATATGCTTCTTCAACATCTACTAGCACTTTAAAAGAACATATAAAAAAAATCATTCAGTTATTTATAATCAAAATGTAAAAACTGAACTTGTTTCTTATAATCAGAAGGAACAACTTGAACATAATAAATACTTAATTACCTGAATAATTACAAGTTTGCAACTATTTTCAGTAACAGAAGAAAAATCATTTATAGAAATGCTAAATAAATTTAATTCATATTACGAAGTACCAACTCAATATTATATTAGTTTATGTATTATGAGACATTTCAAAATCAACAAAAATATTTAAGTGAAGATTTGCAAAATATTTTAGACATGATTGTTTTAACAACTAATATGTGGATTTCTGAAAATAATTATTTTTTTTTAGAAATAACTATCTATTAGATAAATAATAATTGGCAAATGCACAAGTGTTTACTAGATATAATTTCTTTTTATAAATTACATACAGGTATAAATATAGCAAAAGAGTTAATAGATCTATTAAAAAAATATAATTTAGCTACAAAAATTATATCATTAATAACTGATAATGCTCAAGTTATGGTTGTATATGATTGTCAATTATATAATAAATTAGAAGCTAATTTTAATAATTCTTTATTTTCACATCAATGCTGTAGAGCATATATTCTAAATTTAGCTGTACAACATAGTCTTCAAGTTTATAATGAAACAATTAAAAAAGTTCAAAATTTTATGAAAAAGGTTAAAAGATCAAATATATTAGTAAATGATTTTTGAGAATTATTTAAATCACAAAATATATCTTATTTAAGTCCTAAAATAGATATAAAAATATATTGAAATTCTACATATCTGATGTTAAACAAGTTTTTAAAAATTAAAATATAAGCAAATATGCTTATTGCTTAACATCCTAATAATTTCGATGATTTAATTTTTACAAACAGTGATTGAATTAATATTTTAGTAAGTATTTATATATTAATATTAATATAATTTGATTAACAAATTTACATACATATAAGCAGAATTTTAGAATTATTTTTGACTTACTAGATAATTTTGGATAATTTTACTACCAAAATAGCTGCTTTAATGAGACAATTTCAATAAGCTCAAAATTACCTAAATCTAATTATACTATTCTGAAATTATTAAGGTTTTGAGTAGTTAAACTAATTCTAAAACATCTAAAATGATATAAAATCTTACCAATTTCAGGATACTATAAATGGATTTTAGTAATTTTGAGCTTGTTGGAATCATCTCATTAAGGTAGTCATTTTGGTAATAAAAATATCTAAAATGGTTCAGTAGATCAAAAGTTACAAATTTTTACTTATATAAATATATTTAATATTACATTAATAATTAATTAATTTAATATAGATTATTTAGAAATTACTTGACATTTTAGCATATATGTATTCTGCAACTTTAGCTTTCTCATCATCTTCATTTTCAACAATTAGTAAGTTTTATTTTACTTTTTGGACCTTAAAATAAAAGTTAGAATATGAAATAATTAATAATATTATATAGTACATTATTGCAGATTTTATACATCACAAATTTGATAAATATTATTTAAATATTAATAATACTATTAAGATTGCAATTATTCTAGATCCTTGCATTAAATGTATACTTTATATGTTAGAAAATGAAACTAATAATGTTATATTTTTATTATGTAGTAAAATAGTTCATTATTTAACTATAGCTACAGTAATTTCACCAAATTTAACTGAACTATCTTCAGAAAGTATGTCATTTAATTAAAATAATGCTCATACTTATTTAAGAAATCTTGCTAATCAATTTTGTTCAACTGCAATTATACAATCTAATATTAACAATGAATTAAAAAGATATTTTGCTATACCTATTGACAAAAATTGTGACCCATTAGAGTAGTAGAAAGTTTATAAAATTCAATTCCTAGTTTTATCAACTATGGCACATGACTTTTTTACAATTCAGACATCTAGTATGCTATGTGAAGAAGTATTTTCAATTGTGAGACTTACTATTTCAAAGGTATATAATAGACTAGATCCTGAAACTGTCTGTGCAATATTATATTTAAAAAGCTGAATTATGAAACAAATTAGTAAAAATATAAATAATATTAATATAGAAGATATTGATATTGATGATGAAATGAACTGTGAATAGGCTTCTTTATATATATATTATTATATAATGATTTCATAATACATATATTGGTTAATAGGATACTGGTATTGAATATATTTGTAGAATTGATTATATATATGAACAAATTATTTTATTTGGTATAATTATGTGAGAAGTATCTTCTGAGATATTAGCATTAGTATTTTTTTAAATTAAAAATATAAATCTTGTAGTAAGATTAGTAGTTATCATTAATAGCATTTTATTAATTCATTTTTACATATTTTTTTTTACTTGTGTATTTATTACATGTTTTTTTGTAAATTGATTATTATATTATATATATTTTTTATTTACAGCTTAGAATTATATGTTAAAATTATGATACTAGCAGTACTT